GAGAGGCGTCTGGTACCCTTGACTCTGTGCTGTATGATGGGAGATGAGAAACCTCTGGGCGTAATGGGCAGCAACAGCCGGGAAAGAGATCGCGAGCTTCTAATTCCGGTGGCCGACGCCGTTGACCACCGCCGCCATGATGAGGTTGGCTCATCCGTCTCCCTCGCCTCCGCTTCCTCCTCCCATCATCCCGGCCGAGAGGTACTGCTTTGTTCGTCACTAACTATGGTTTTTTTATTCGGATTTTGCTTCCTAATTTTACTTTTAGGGGTTTTCAGTAGGTATCTGTACCGGCCTTTGTTTTGGTTCGATATATGCGCTAGCTACCTTTGCAAGTAGATATCGATCTGCTGTTGTTTCCATTTTCATTTGGATTTAATTTTGAATATGCGTATCTAGCCGTCAAGGCTGCCATGTTCACTAATTTTTGTTCAAGGGTGCTTTAAATTCTGTAGTAGCAAGCTAGTCTCCACTGTTGGAATTGCTTAATATCGTGATTTGATGAAATTTGAGCATTGAAGGAAATAATCATATTCCACAAAATTTGATTATATTGTCTTTGGAAGTTCACTGCTTTCTGTCTATGGTATTATCAGTCCAACAATAGTTGCAGTTCTGAATTCTTAATTGTAATTGCAGACTACAGTGCAAAGCTAACCGGCATTTTGTACTTTATTTTTTGAATAAAAAGAGAAAATTGCATAGCAGTTCTATTACGTTGTTTTTGCGGTTGGTTTATTTATGAATACTCCATAAGTAGAGTAGAAAGGTGTGTCAGTTCAATTATAAAAAGATATATAACTTTCTTGAACTTCTGTTGCCTTCTTGAGTTGGTAGTGAACAAAATCGAACAAAGAATTTAGTCGTAAGTTATCATTATTTTGAGTGTGGCATGTGTCTGTCGTTTCATTCATTTTACTACGGACCTGGCCTTTTGTTTCTTTGTTGCGTGTTGTTGTTCTCTATCCAATACGTAACTATAATAGTTCATCTTTGGTGATGCTGCAGACAGCTTACAAAGTACTGCGGAGCTGGGCTTCAAAGAAATTCATGACTGGATGGTGAGCACAATACTTATGTTATACGATCTCTGTTTTCAGGGCATGAAATGTGAGAATATGCATTTTGTAGATTCTCAGAATTTGCCTGATTGTGTTATAGAATTTTCTTTTACCTTAAAGCTGCTGAATTAGGTATAAATGCAACATAGTTGACCCACATATAACAGTTTTTAAATTCTTAATCATAATTTCGTTAATGCTTCGTGGAATAATAATTTCGTTTATTAGTTGAATGAAACAGAGATGAGGGTTAAAAAAAAGTTTCATTTGTTTGATTTGAGCTACCTTAGTTGTCCGACAAACCGAGTGATCTTGCTGAATCTAATAAGATACCAGGCTTAAAAATCACCAATGCCATGTTTGGTGTTATATCTGGGGATCAAATTCCTTCCTAAGGAAGATATGTCCGAGATTGCTTTGTGGAAATTCCATATCCAAGGCCGAAATAATATCGTCATCCGTTTATAATTAAATATCTCTGACACATAACAACATCGACAAGATTTGTATAGTGCTTGTCACTTCAACAATGTTTAATTGAAAATATCTCCGCCAACAAATTCCAATATCTTTTCATTTACATATTTATATTGTCTTTACATTGCAAACTCCATATACTAATACATATCTTAAAGTTGCCAAAAACTTTCGAGTTTAAAATAGATTTAAATTTTTGGCCAGAGTTCTTTCCTACAGTAAGTTCACACATTAGGTTTTCCTTCTGGTGATCGAGTTGTTTCAATTTAGTCTTAGGGATTATGTAGAAGACAAGCAATGGTTTTCCAAAACGTTTTATTGAGATTCCTTTATTGTTTCTAAACAACCTTTACTGTCAGTGATTTAGTTCTCTTTCTATAAGGTGAAGATGTGCGAGAACTCTAGATCTTATGTTAGGTATTTTGATTGTTCCTATATATTATTATCAGAAGAATGTTATGTATTTTTTTTTTATATTTGCTGACCCCCTCACTTGGTTGAGATGATGAGTATCATGATTTCTTTCCATCCTTATTCGTTTCCATCCTTTATTCGTTGATTAATTTCATTTCTTAGATCATAGTCACTGGCAAAACTTTGCAAGGCTATTGCACTTTTTCTCATATTCTTCGAGTTGAACTTCTTACAACTTACAAAGATCCTTAGTTTGCATTTGGATTGTGAAGGGTTTGGATTTGAGAGGGATTTTGTGTAGAATTTCAAATGGCTTCAAATGAGATGGACTTGAAACCCACTAGAGCTACACAAGTAATGACTCGGAATAGGGCTCTATGCGGGTTCGAAACACTTTGTAGAATTATCTTATCTGCACAACCTCAAAAAAAGTGCTATTATGACTTTTTTCTCTAACTCGAATTGGAGCCATGAGGTTGCGATTGGATATAAATCTAACCCTGAGTTAACCTATCAAATCCACTTCAAATCTACCAAACGATTTTAGATTCAAATTTTTAACTCAAAAACTATCTCAAATCTAATTCAATTTAATTCTCCTCAATGTTATCAATATAATTAAATAATATTAGTCAATCATCCTCAACATCACATCACCAAAATTCACTATTCATCCACTCATATATTTTTAAATAACAATCAACAGCAATCAACCCTCTCATACATTTACATCAACTTTAATCATTGCATTTTAACTCATCTCCAAACACAAATCAAAATCCAATCCCAAACTCCACTAAATCACCTTTATTTCAACCACTTTATTCAATAAATCAAATTACACCCAAAAAATTTGTCCAATCGCGCCCTACAGTTTTCTGCAATTATTGGATTAAGCATCCTTTGCTTGAATCAAAACATTTCTGAAATTAATATGGGTTTAATTGAATGGTTTTAGTAGAGATTTATGTCTTTGTCAATGTTACATCAAATTAAGCATCTGGTTGACCTGAATTTGTAGGATGAGTTCTTTGCCCCACATATACTGGGACTTATGAATGTTCCAATATATATATTTATGCCTTTAAGGACAAGAATATTAGGTTACGAGCATCAGTAAAAAGGATGAGGCATGTTTTTATCTATATATAGTACCACTTTCCCATTTCTCCAACATTCAGAAACAAGGAATGGTCATCATAGATAGAAACTGTGATTTCACTATTAACTCCGTAATCTTGTTGCAAGATATTGAAGGGCGCATGTGTGTGTGTGCATTCATGTGCTTATATATATGTAAATGCATTATAAGTATTCAATCAATTTATATCCTTGGTGCTTGGGATAATATCTTAAAATGCCACTATAGAAATGTGGGCAGATAAGCAGTTCGTTTTGTTACATGTGCACCACAATTCTTAAAGAGGCAATAGTTAAATGGGGTTATGAATGTATTTATAATTTTATATTCAGACGGATAGCCCTTTTCTTGAAGAGTTGGGCATCTAATTAATTTCTAAAACAATGTTTGAATGGTTAGCTCGAGGATTGCCGAGGTCCTTTGTGAGCCTTTGATGCACCTGGACAATTTGTTATCTTCTTCCTTTTTATTTTTCTCTTTTTTGCCCTTCCTTTTGCTCTTATTCTTTTGTTGCTCATACCTTTATGTATGTTGCTTGCTCTGTCATTTTTGCAGTGTCATCCTCTTTCCAATAGCTATTACATTCTATATAACATGGTGGTTCATTCATTTCGTTGATGGATTCTTCTCTCCGATTTATGTTCAACTAGGAATTGACATATTTGGTAAGCAGGTTATTCTTTCACTTGATAATTAATGTCTGCACCAGTGGTTGATTTCTGTTTTGTCTATACATAATTATTAGTCATGTTGAGAAGGAATACCTTATTTAACTTACCTACAAAAAACAAAAGGACAATCAGATAACTATACTCTGGGGTTTTTGTAAGTTTCTGTTACCCATATGATGCAACTTTTATTTTTATAAGTTTATTGAATGATGCAACTTTTATTTTTATAAGTTTATTGAAAGTATTTTTCCTTGAAGGATTAAATTATGACAGACATAAATCTTCCTCTGACATAATTATGCTGCTAATAAGACCGCGTAATTTCATATTTCAGGTTTAGGGTTTGTGACCTCCGTTACTTTTATTTTCTTGGTTGGAGTATTTATGTCTTCGTGGTTGGGGGCGTCTGTTCTGAGCCTTGGCGAGTGGTTTATCAAGCGTATGCCATTTGTTCGTCATATTTACAATGCCTCTAAGCAAATTAGTGCTGCTATATCTCCAGGTAGGCTTGATTTTCCCAAATGTAATTTCATCCAGATGAGTGTTCTTGTCATGGATGGGTAATCATCTCTTTCCCATTACTACCGCAGATCAGAATACCCAGGCATTCAAGGAAGTTGCAATAATAAGGCATCCACGTATTGGTGAATATGCATTTGGGTTTATCACTTCTTCTGTTGCCCTCCAGGTTTTTCATGTTCGGCATATTTTGGTCTATCATTCTTCGCCTTTTATACTCCACCTCGTGTTAGTTTATTTGAAACATGGTGATCTTTTGTGCACCTAATTGTTCTAAGCCTATTTGACTGGTGTAGTGTTGCACTATGCACGTAGTGGTTATACATGAAGAAAAGACCATCACTCCAGTAATTTCTGGGTAGTCCATCAATTTTCCCCCATGTTAATCTTGTTGACTCTTGTGGTCTTTTGTTCACCTTTCTTTGACCTTCATTGTAGTGTAGAATTGTATCATGCATATAGTGGTTTTCTGTAGATTAAGTCGACTGTTATATTTAATGAGTTCTGAGAGGTTTATTTAAAGCATAGGCAGGCAGGTGACGTGGATGATTAATCTAGATGGTGTTGTCACAGCATTCATTTAGCTGATTATGTTATCTGATTTGACATGTAACTTTGTTCTCATTCTCAAAGATGCTGACCATGCAATGGGAGACACGAGTAGAAAAATATGGTTTATGCTTTGTAATAGTAAATGTGATCATTTATTGGTTGATTTCACTGTTAAGACATAAACTATGTCTTGCAATCTTTGAAACATCTCTCTCTGTCTCTCTGTCTCTCTCTCTCTCTCTCTCTCTCTCTATAGCTTCTGGATTGATCTAATTGTGTACTGAAATTAAAAGATGAGACCTTATATTATGATTTGTGAACTTGTAGAAAAAGGGTAGCCTGTTTACAATATACATTTTATTTATAGAATCATTTTCTCTTTCCCTTTCCAGAGTTACACTGGAGAAGAAGAACTATACTGTGTGTATGTCCCGACAAACCATCTATATATCGGTGATATATTTCTGGTCAATGCTAAAGACGTTATTCGACCAAACTTGTCAGTCCGAGAAGGGATAGGTAAGTTGACTGCCAGTTTTTTGTCATCCAAGCAATACCAAATTGACAGTAGAATCGAGTTTAAAGGCATCAGTCTATGTAGGTGCCACCATTATACCTGTATACCTTGAAAACCTTTATTTTTTCTCAAAGTTGAAATATCTGCATTCGCATATACTGACCATTCTAATCGCTAATCTCTCTTTAAGTGGCACACATCCTTGCTCCCTTGTCTCATTCTGTCACCACATATTTTTCATCTTTTGAGCAACTCCACACGTAATATGCTCTGAGTTTTCAAGTATTGTTGACATCGTGAGAAAATTTAGTTAGTTTCTAAAAGTGTCCCTTACATTTACGATTTATTAGATGATATGCATAAGTTTGTGAATACAGTCAAATTTCATGTTCCAATGTCTCCTTCCTTGAATGTTTGCAGAAATTGTGGTGTCGGGTGGCATGTCGATGCCCCAAATCCTATCTACATTGGATCAAAGAATTTCTCAGATGGATAGAATCAGACCTGATAGAAAATGAGATACTTTCAATATATATAATTTTTTTTTTTTTTTTTCCCCGCTGGTCAGCTTCCGTTCCTATTCTCTCATTGGCATGTTTGTTTAATTTAATGGCGCCATCTTGGAAATGTAATTTGAATCATTTAAAGAGGATGCTTGGATGTAAGATTTTTTTGGTTTTGTTTGGTTAGTTTTTAAAAAATGTGGTATGGTTAAATGTTAGGGAGATTTTGAATTTATATTAAAATTTTATTTAAAATATAATAATTAAAATATATTTGATGTAAAAGTAGGAAATAGATGATAGGAATTGATAGCTGCTTGAAATTATGTGAGTTGATTAATAGTGAAATAAAATTTATTTTATGTGTAAAAATAATTGTTTGATATTATTTTATTATATTTATAATATTGATGATAGTGATATTATAATATTAATGATAGTGAGTTTGAGTTAGATTTGAATTAAAAAAAGTGATTAGATGTTTTTTAGAAATCTTGTGTTCAAGCATGCTCTTAATTTCATACAATCATAGGGAAATAGGTTTACAATTTTTTTCTTTTTTTTTTCTTTTTTTTTTTTTTTTTTTTTTT